CTGGCTCTTGTTGGAACTCAGAAGACTGGACAAGCTGGGCCAGCATTCCCGCACAGGTACAAGGAGCTGGAGCTCAGAGGCACTCCCTCCTCTGGATGAGATGTGGTTTCCACAGCTCAGCACCGGCCCAGCTCCTCCAATTCCCACTTGGTCTGTGTTTCCTGCCTGGCCCCTGTAGGGAATGGACTTGAGATTCTGAGGTAAAAATAGGAATCTCAAAACAGCCTTGTCAGTGGCTCACACCTGTTATCCCAGCTCTTTGGGAGGCTGCAGCAAGAGGATTGCTTGAGCCCAGGAGTCTGAGAATAGCTTGGGCAACACAGCGAGATCTCATCTTTACAAAAAAATAAAAAACTAAAAATTAGCCAGGGGTGGTGGTGTGTGCCTGTAGTCCCATCTACTTGGGAGGCTAAGGTGGGAGGATCACTTGAGCCCAGGTCAAGTCTACAATAAGCTATGACTGTGCCATGGAACTCTAGCCAACAGAATGAGACCCTGACTCTAAAAAATTAAAAAATAAAGAAACCAGTCTTGGAGCTGTGTTTCAGAGAGCTGCAGCATTTTTTTCAGGTGGCATCTGCCACCCCGGGCAGTACAAACACAGTTATTTCTCCAGAAACTCCTCATTTTCCACCCTGAGCTCCATGAGAAGACCCACAGGCTCCTTTTCCTGCTTCCTGTTCCTCCCCTGCAGAAAGATCCTTTCTCTGCCAGGCTCACCTGCCCACTCCAGCATGTCCTCAATATTCTCCGCTGCCCCAGGCACAAAGCGAGTCTGATCTGTGTCCTCCAGCCTCAGGATGAAGCTCCCCTGGTACTTCTTAGCAAAGATGTAGTTGTACAGGGCAGTGCGGAGGCCACCCAGGTGCAAGAAGCCTGCAGAAGAGAACAGCTCAGATAAGACAGGGAAGATGAGCTAATAGGCCTCAGCAAGGGGCAAGTAAGCACTACTGTGACAGAATGTTGCAATAAATTTCAAAGACCAGCAGGACACATTGGCTCACGCCTGTAATCCTATCACTTTGGGAGGCCAAAGCCAGGGGGATCACTTGAGCCCAGGAGGTTTTTGTAGGTTTTTTAAGACAGAGTCTCGCTCTATCACCCAGGCTGGAGTGCAGTGGCACAATCTTGGCTCACTGCAACCTCTGCCTCTTGGGTTTAGGCAATTCTCATGCCCAGTCTCCCAAGTAGCTGGGACTACAGGTGCGTGCCACCACACCCAGCTAATGTTTGTATTTGTGGTAGAGACAGGCGTTCACCATGTTGGCCAGGCTGGTCTTGAACTCCTGACCTCAAGTGATCCCCCAGTCTTGGCCTCCCAAGTGCTGGGATCCACCAACCGCATCCACCACTCTATTTTGATATTTGTCTCAAGGCCAAGTTTTGCCTGAAAGAGAAGCGGGGTTATTCATTGAGGCCGTATCACGTACATTTAACTTACAGAAATTCAGTGATGTGTGCTGGGAAAAAAATTAATTACAAACGAACTAGAAATTTAAAATACTGTACAATCACACTGTGGGCCAGGTGCAGTGGTACAGTCATGGCTCACTGCAGCCTCAACCTCTCCGGCTCAATCAATCCTCCCACGTCAGCCTCCTAAGTAGCTGGAACTACAAGTGTACACCACCACGCCTGGCTAATATTTGTACTTTTTTTTTCTAGAGGCAAGGTTTCACTATGTTGCCCAGGCTGGTCTCGAACTCCTGGGCTCAAGCAATCCTTCCACCTCAACCTGCCAAAGTGCTGGGATTACCGGCATAAGCCACCACACCTTGCCAAGATTTTCACCCTAATTGCTGGCTTTACACACTAACCAACAGTAGTGTTTGATTCCACTATATTTCTCTTCATCACTTTAAACTCATAAGATTTTCCTTTTTTATCATTCCTGTTTGAAAACTGAAAGTTAACAGTTTTTCCAGGGTTGTCATTACCTCTTACCCTACCTTCTTTGGTCCAGCCCACAGCCCTAAGTCTCCACAACGAGCTCATCTACATTTACAGGTAAAAGAGGCAGCAGAGGAGAGGAAAAGCTCTTCTGGGACCAGGCCGACCCTGCTTCAACACTGATGTGTGTAACCTTTGGATAGTTACTGCAAGGACACCAGAAAACCAGTGGTATTCAGTGGCACTGGGTCCCAAGAGTCCCCAGGACAAAAGAGGGACCCAGCTGCTAAAAACAAAGCCTCTTACATTAAACACACCTGGAGTCAAATTCTGCATCCACCATTTATTAGCTGCTACCCCTTTGGAAGGAACTCAGCTTTTTTGAGCTTCTATTTCCTCAACTGTCAGAGGGATTAAGAGCAAAAATATAAGAATTTTCCGCATTATAGGGTTGCTCTCAGGTCTAAATGCTGACCAAAGTAAACCCTCAAATAATTTCAGCTACTGTAATGATCTGTGCCTGGTAATTCTTTTATCTGTTTATAGTCAAAAGCCTTTCCCACATGGGCTTTTCCCGCAAATGAGCAAGAAAATAAAAATTATAATCATCATAATAGAGGACATTTATTAAGTGCTTTCTGGGTGCACTAGACCTTGCTAATTGGTTCAGCTGCATGAGCTTAACCCCATAAGACAGACACTATTAGCCCTGTTTTCACAAATAGTAAAACTGAGGCTCAGATTCATTAAATAATTTGCACATCTAGGCCAGGTGCGGTGGCTCACACCTGTAATCCCAGCACTTTCGGAGGCTGAGGCAGGTAGATTACTTGAGCTCAGGAGTTCGAGACCAGCCTGGACAACATGGCAAAACCCCATCTCTACAAGAAAATACAAAAATTAGCTGGGCATAGTGGTCACACACTTGTAGTCCCAGCTACTCGGGAGGCTGAGGTGGGAGGATCACTTGAGCCCCGGAGGCTGAGGTTGCAGTGAGCCAAGATTGCGCCATTGCACTCCAGCCTGGGCGACAGAGCCAGACCCTGTCTCCAAATAATGATAATAATTTGCACATCTAGTAAGTTACACATCTAACAAATGGCAAAGACAGAAATTTGTATCCAGGCAATCCCAGGCTTTGGCATTCTACATAGTGCTCAAAGTGTGAGATCCAGTGCTGGTCTGAAAACAGTTGTCAGTTCACAATCATGTACAGAAACTGAGAGTAAAGGTTTAGAAACTTTTGTTGTTGTTGTTGTTTTGAGATGGAGTCTCACTCTGTCACCTGGGCTGGAGTGTAGTGGCACGATCTCGGCTCACTGCAACCTCTGCCTCCTGGGTTCAAACGATTCTCGTGCGTCAGCCTCCTGAGTAGCTGGGATTACAGGCCTGGGCCACATTCTCGGCTAATTCTTATATTTTAGTAGAGACAAGGTTTTGTCATGTTGGCCAGGCTGCAGAAACTTACATAGCAACCTGACAGCATGATTTTACCTCTGCTAACCCAAATAAAAAGAGATGGGTTTGTATTTTGGATGTTTTCAAAATTTTATTTTTCTGGTCATTAATTTATACTAATTTTGTGGAAATACTGACACAATTGATTGGAAATTTAAAACCAGCACTTCTACCACAGATGGTTTGAAAGGCACTGCTCTACGCTATACTGACCACCAGAAAGATCCTATTATGTACAGCTGGGATTTTGCCACAAAGATCCTTGTATGTTCATCCCGGCATTTCGGATGAGAGGCATACTCAGTGCAGAGAAGGTAGAAGGTAGCCTTACTGGTGGGAACCAGAAGGCCCTGACAAGATCTCCAACAGGCTATAAAATGGGCCTCTGTCACCCTCTAGCTTGCTAAGATCCCAACAACACTAGCACACTGCCTTGGTACCTGCGATTTCCTCTACCCAGAAGATTCCTCCTTTTTTGTTTCTGAGACGGAGTTTCTCTCTTGTTGCCCAGGCTGGAGTGCAATGGCGAGATCTTGGCTCACTGCAACCTCCACCTCCCGGGTTCAAGTGATTCTCCTGCCTCAGCCTCCCAAGTAGCTGGGATTACAGGCTTGTGCCACCATGCTCGGATAGTTTTGTACTTTCAGTAGAGACGGGGTTTCACCATGTGGGTCAGACTGGTCTCAAGTGACCCACTTGATCTCAAGTGACCCACCCGCCTCGGCCTCCCAAAGTGCTGGGATTACAGACTTGAGCCACCCCACCCGGCCTCCAGAAGGTTCCTTCTATAGGCTTCACGTAGCGTGCTCTTTCTTGTCATTTGGATCTCAGGTCAAATGTTACCTGCCCAGTAAAGCCTTCTGGAGCGCCCTTCTTTCGACTCCCAGTCTCCTATCCTGTTTCACTTCCCGCATGGCACATGTGACTCTAAAATTACATTTATTTTTATAGGTGTCTGCGGCAGCCACTGGAGTGCAGACTTCTAGAGAGCAGGGCCCCTACCTTTCTCAATGATCACTGTATCCCAGTGTCTACAACACCTGGCACACAGTTTGTCATCAATACACACGTACGGAATGCATGAAAGATCGAAAGAGATGGGACGGCACAAAAAACACAAAGAAATTCCTGGCAATTTGAAATATTTCTGTTCCTGCACCTCAGTTTCCGCCTCTGTAGAATGGGCTAGCGCTGCCTTAACAACCTCCCCTCCGCCCGCCCACTTGACACCACCGGAAAAGATTCATTCGGGAACATTCGGGGGGCGGAGACGAGACAGGGGGCCTCGGCCTGTAGTGTCACGTCCGCCAAGGTTACCTGTGGGGCTGGGAGCGAACCGCACTCGCACCGCAACCCCGGGACCAGTGCCCAGGCTGGCCTCGCGCCATCCTACGGGGCGGCCAGAGGCCGCTGAGGGCCTCCCGCGCTGCACCAATCTCCTCAGGAGCGCCGCCATGTGGGATGGAATCGCACACGTGGGCTTCTCCTGCGTCACATCCGGGGACTGCTTCCAGCCAATCGGCCTCCGCCACAGCAAGCGCAGCCCTGCCCCTTAAAGTCACAGGCCTCCTAGCGCGAAAGTCCACGCCCCCCTGGACGGCTGCGGCCGCACTCGCCACCAGGGGGCAGAGCCCAGAGAAAGGGCTATTTCCCGGACCCGCCCCCTTCGGCTTGGGAAAGCTAAAGCGTGGCAGGGGCCGGACCGGGGAAGCGGAGGAGGCGGGTCTCCATAGAAACCTCCACCTGTTTCCGGCTGTGCTGTGAGAGATTAGGGGCTGCTGCGGGGGCCAATCTCAGCCAGCTCGCCTCTTCCCAGCGGCCTCTGCGGGAGCGGTGGGTGTTGTACACAATCATCATGGCGGCGGCCGGGGCCCCGGATGGTGAGTGCGGCGGGGGTGGCGGGCGCCGGGCCCGGGCTGAGGTTGCGGGCGCTCCTCTGGGGGATGCGGCCCGGCCCGGGGGGGAGAAGCGCGGCTCGGGAACGGAGGTCCGGCGGCGCCCGGACAGCATCCGTTCCCAAGCCCAGCCCGCGGCAAGCGCCCACCCCCTAACCCCCTTGCAGGCATGGAGGAACCTGGCATGGACACGGAGGCCGAGACCGTGGCGACTGAGGCGCCCGCGCGGCCCCTCAACTGCGTGGAGGTTGAAGCCGCGGCGGGGGCGGCGGCCGAGGACTCCGGCGCCGCACGAGGTAGCCTGCAGCCGGCCCCGGCCCAGCCCCCTGGGGACCCCGCAGCCCAGGCCTCGGTCAGCAACGGCGAAGACGCGGGCGGCGGCGCGGGCAGGGAGCTGGTGGACTTGAAGATCATCTGGAACAAGACCAAGCATGACGTGAAGTTCCCCCTGGACAGCACAGGCTCCGAGCTGAAACAGAAGATCCACTCGATTACAGGTAATTCCTGCGGCGCTGACAGCCAGTCTTCCCCACCCCGCCTCCTGATGGCCCTTGCACCGTGCTAGGCACCTGGTGGCTTTCCTTGCATCAGGCACCCCCATCCTCACAGCAGTCTTCCGAAGAGTATTTGGATGCCCATTACTCAGCTGCGGAAAGAGACTCAAGTTTATAGAGCTAGTTGCAGAACTGGGATTCAAGCCGAAGTCTGACGTTTAGACCCCAGTTTCTCATTAATGTTGCCCTAACATCTCTAATTAAAAAATCACCTAAGGCACTTGTTTTACAGCTTCCGGGCCCTTTCCCAGGAGGTTCTGATTCAGTGGGTCTGGTATGTAGCCAGGAATTTATTTGTAGCAAATATCTTAGGTAGTTCTTCTAAGTGAAGTTGAGGAAACACTGCTATTGACTTTGATGCTGGTTCTTCACAGTTGATTCTGTTTCTTGATTTTACCTTGTTTATGGTGCTTTACCATCTGAAATTTCTTTTCTTTTTTTTTTTTTTTTTTTTTTGAGACGGAGTCTCGCTCTGTTGCCCAAGGTGGAGTGCACTGGCGCGATCTCGGCTCCCTGCAACCTCCGCCTCCCAGGTTCAAGCGATTCTCCTGCCTCGGCCTCCCAAGTGGCTGGGATTACAGGCGCCCGCCACCCCACCCCGCGGGGCTAGTTTGTTTATTTTAGCTGCCCGCCTCGGCCTCCCAAAGTGCTGGGATTACAGGCATGAGCCACCACTCCTGGCCTTGAACTTTTTTTTTTTTTTTAAAGCTTTCTACGTGTAGCCTTGTAAACTCCATTAAGAACAGGAGTTTTGTCCCTGTCGGCTTCTGTAACTCTGATGCTTGTGGATTCTCACTTAATATTTGAATGATTTAGATGACTGAAGAATAACTTGGAAAGAATGAGAGCTAATATTTATTGAACAGTTATTGAATGCTAGGCACCGTACTAAATGCCCCACATTGGTCTCATCTCTTAATCCTTGAAACAATTCTGTATAGAAGGACCTACTCTCATAAGTCTTCCATAGTTCTAGAAACTGAGGTTCAGAGGTTGTAAATCTCCCAAGAAAGCTAATAGGTGGTGGAGTCAGTATACACTTTTTGGTCTGTTAACCAAAGAGTTGTGTAGTATCCATACATTTTTCTTTCCTTCCTTCCTTTCACTGTCCACCTTCTACCTTTTCCCAAGGTCTCCCGCCTGCCATGCAGAAAGTCATGTATAAGGGACTCGTCCCCGAGGATAAAACATTGAGAGAAATAAAAGTGACCAGTGGGGCCAAGATCATGGTGGTTGGCTCCACCATCAATGATGTTTTAGCAGTAAACACACCCAAAGATGCTGCGCAGCAGGATGCAAAGGCCGAAGAGAACAAGAAGGAGCCTCTCTGCAGGCAGAAAGTGAGTCCATCTTGTGCTTCTTGGTCCTGAGAAATTTGAGGCTTTGTCCTCTCGAGCCTTGGCTGGTTATATTCTCCCTAGAATAAGCTCCTTTTTGGACAGGGCCCATGATGGAAATTTATGGCAGCAGTTGGGTGCCGCAGAGTGGAGGTGACAACTACCTGAGATTTGCAACTTTGTCTCATCTGGCGGGTCAGTGTGTCTCAAGTCTACCTACTTTAGGATAAGACCTTGGTAAAGGGAGGCTTCAGACCATGTGTTGAAAGGAATCAGACATGGGTTTCTCTCTCCTATTTAGTGCCAGAGAAAAATACCAGTAACTAGAAGTAAGCCCTCATTTTGCACAAGTGCTTACATTTGGCTTTTTGGTTTGTGGCTTTTCCCAAGTCAACAAGCCTGGTTAGGCATGGAAATCAACAACTCTCGGAGGTTCCTCTAAAACTGACTGTTTCAGGAAGCTGAATGAAGCTGAGTAGGAAGACTACACTGATGGATTTATTTATTTATTTTTTGTCCTGATGTGTGAAATAGGAGATTGATTTTTTTACGTTCTTTATTCTTTTGGCTTGCAAGAGATCCTGTCTTGTCTCGTGCTCATCATAGCCATTAACATTCTTTTATGAATGAGGACAAGTGAGATGATTTTACTGTAGAAGGAACAGATTGTAAGAATCATCACTTGGTATCTTTTTACCTAGCAAATTCTACTGATTGCTGTGTAGCCTCCTGATCATTCTTCCTAGCGTTCCAAGGAAAACAGGTATTCTCAACTGTGTCCGCAGGAGAGTAGATCGACTTGAATCAACATTATTTAGTGACCATGATGTATAACCAACAGTAAGAGAAGGTCACAGTTTGTGTTACATATCCGTAATCACTCATGTGTGCTTCCAAAACCCCAAAGAAGTCTAAAAATGAAAAGTGTTTTTATAAATTTAACAGGACCAGAATTAGTGTGAATTTTCCTCTTTGGTGACAAGGTGCTGCCCCAGACTCCACAGAGAAGATTGTTGTGTATTTTAAAGCAATATTATCTCTATAAGACTTTGAAAACCCTTAAAGTTCAAAACGCTAGGGTTTCGGATAAGGGGTTGTAAACCTATATTGTCTAATTATCTAAAAGGTATTGATTTGGAGACTTCACCCCCACATATGGGGTCACACTGTCTCGAAACCAATTGAGTTTCTTCTCATATTCCTGTTTTCCTCTGCCACATGTATGAAATAGTGAAATGTGAGCGTCAGATAGGGGTGGTCCCGCTGGTCACACCCTTGGAGCATAACATGCCTCTTAAATACAGGTTTTTAGTTACTAATGGTAGCTTAACAGGCCTAGAACTGTTCTCCACAGTACAGGAAGTCTTGTTCAAAAGGTACTTGAAAGGTGTGACTGGAATTGCACTTTCAGCCCATGCTGCTGTGTTTCATTGATGCCAATTATGATGCATCACATGACCTAATGAGCGGGATATAGTCCCTTGCCTTTTTATCAGCTTATTAAGGGGTCTGGGACTGATGTCTGGAGTGAATTTTTGCTAACAGTCTGGCAGTGCTGTGTTTATTCCTCCCAGAGGGATTCCACCATGCCAGTGAGGATTTGGGCTGGCTTGTGGCTGCCTGGTACTTACATTTGATTAAATTGTTATCTTCTATCCATTCATTGTCCTATAGTTCCAGCTTTTCCAAGCAGTGGCTGTGCCTATAAGGCCACAGATGGAGAAGAAATAAGACTCAGGTGGGCCAGGCAGGAGAGCTGTTTAAGAGGCCTGAACTTAGAATCCTTAAAGAGCTGCCTCAGGGTTCTTGGGGCAGGCTGGTAGGGGTGGAGTTTAGAGGCTTCTTAATGTCAGATTATAGAGTAATCATTTCTTTCCAAAAGGTGGCTCTTCCAGGTTCCTGTTTAGCTGGAGTTAAGGGTAGGGCAGTGGGGAGAACTTCGGCGATGGGCTGGGTCTCCATTTGTTGAAGAACTGCTCTTTCTAGGCAGACAGATTACCAACATCTTACAGGGTTCTCTGGGAGTTTAAGTTGAAAAAGGTGGGTGCCATTTTTTTTGTCTGGTAGGAGAGCAACACCCTGTGTTGCCCTCTTTAGCTTGACAATTTAATCATTTAAGTGGTGGGTTTTTTTGAGGGGAGAAGGGCAATCTGGAAATCCTGTTTGCTCTAGAACTTTGATAGCTAATATGGTAACTAGCTACATGTGGCTGGTTAAAATGAAATTAAGAATTCAGTTCCTCAGTCACAGTAGCCGCATTTCAAGTGCGTAATAGTCACAGCAGTAGGTAGTGGCTAGCACAGGTACGAACATCTTCGTCCTCCCAGAAAGTTCTGCTGAACAACACTGTGCTATAAGGATCCATAGTCTGTCGTCATTAAAAGCTTTTGAGCTAAAACACTAAGGCTTGCTTCATCCTGTCTTTCAAAGGAATAGTAACATGACTAAATGTAGTCAGCTGTTTCATTTCATTCTCTCTTCTGACTTACAGCAACACAGGAAAGTGTTGGATAAAGGAAAACCTGAAGATGTGATGCCATCTGTTAAGGGTGCCCAGGTAAGGCGAATCTCTTTGTGAGCATTCTGAAAATGAGCCAGCCCCACCGTCTGACTTGAGGTTCCTCCAATCCTGTCCCTTCTCTTTTTTCCCTTTTTTTTTTTTTTTTTGAGACAGAGTTTTGCTCTGTCACCCAGGCTGGGGTGCACCACTACACGTGGCTAATTTTTGTATTTTTAGTAGAGACGGGGTTTTACCATGTTGCCCAGGCTAGTATTGAACTCCTGACCTCAGGTGGTCCACCTGCCTTGGCCTCCCAATGTGCTGGGATTACAGGTGTGAGCCACTGCGCTTGGCCCCCTTCTCTTTTTTTCAGACCGTCCCTCCATCTCTTACCATGCTCTTGTGCCTCCAGGAACGCCTGCCAACGGTACCGCTGTCCGGCATGTACAATAAGTCTGGAGGAAAAGTGAGACTCACCTTTAAACTAGAACAAGACCAGCTGTGGATTGGCACTAAAGGTATGTTCTTCCTTGCCTCCTTGCTGGCCCACTGCCTGCCTCTGACACCCAGCAGCACTCACGTTGTAGAGTACGATTCTGCCCTTCCTTCTGAAACCTCTCTCTCTCCACTGTGCTTTGCGTGCTTCTGGCTTTTAAATTTGCTTTTAGACGCTCGCCTTTTGTTTGGACCCTTTTCCCTCATTGTTTTCATTCTGATCTCAGGGCTGATCCACCAAACATTGGCTCTTCAGTTGCACACAGATTCAGAGGCCCCAAACACATGGCTCAAAGGCCAAATCTGGTCCACAGAAAAAGGTTTTGTGGGATGACACGCAATCTGTAAAAATTGAGAGATTTCACTTAATCTGAATTTTTTTTTTTTAATTTTTTGGCTTCTCTTGAAAAATCAAATGATCTGGTCCTTTGGGGCCTGCATTCTCACATGGCATCGATCCACTAGAGCCGAGTAGTGGTTTCCAGTGGGCCATGCTACAGTCCTCACGGTCCCATTTATCTTAGAAGTAGCCAGCTTTGTTCATTTGTCACCTGCCTGGCCCCTGTAGGTCAGAGTTTGACCCTATAGTAGGTGAAGTTTTCCTAACCGCTGCCTAGGAATCTGCCTGTCCCTCCCCGCCTGGTTGCCCTCTGCCTGCCCCACCCTCGCCTATGCACGGTGTCTGGATCAGCCTTGCTGTTTGCTGGGAAGTGTCTCTGACTGTCCTCCCTCTTCCTTCCCCCAGATGTTTACAAAGTCTTGTCAGTTACACTGCAGAACTGTCTGTCCCTTTCTTTGCCACACTGTTGTGCCAGTTAAAGTTCCCAAGCATCTTTAAATTTGGTCTGTTCAAAGCAAGTTACCCTGTTTCACTGCCGCATCTGTGTTTTCTTCTGTCCTGTCCATCTTACCTACTGCTTTTTATCCTGGGTACCTGTGCTCAAGGACCTTTGGCTCTAAGGACACATTCAAATGCGTAACCATAGCGTTCAGTGTTCTCAGCACTGGGCCTTAAATTTTGGTTCCAGCTTCAGGCCCGTTTGCCCTGTGGTCCCCTGTGTATTTCAGCTGCATCTCTCTGTGAAACTCCCAGTGTGCTTTGCACAGCTCCTTGTCTTTGCTCATGCTGTGCCCTTACCTGGAATGCCTTCTTCCCATTCCTTGTTATTAATAAAATCTTGCAAGGCCCTACTTAAATGTTCTCTCCGAATGAAGCCTTCCTTGATTCACCCCCCACCCTCCAAATGACTTGCTGCCGCTTCTGTTCATAGAGCGCTTCGTTTATATCCCCAGAGCACTCATTACTCTCTGACTTGTCTGTCCCCCTGTTAGATTCCTGGAGGGAACCGAACATGCCTAAATCACCTGTTTCTGGCCAGCACTGTAGGTATTCAGTGTTCGAGGTAAATGCTAAAGAGAAGTATAGGGGGTCCCATCATCTGACGTTCACTGGTTTCAGGGACAGACCATTTAGTGAGACTCCACTTAACATGGAACCAAGTTTTATGGAGAATAATCGGGGCAGGGGTGGTGGGGAGAGAGAGTTTTTAATCATCTGAAACACAAAAATCAGTGTTCAACCCTATACTGATTGTTAAAATGAACAAAAATTGAAATGCCAAAAATGCTTGAGTTTTCTGTCAATTTTATGATAACTCGCTGTTTTCTTCATTTCACATTCAACTCTAACTGCATGGTCAAAGCAAGTTTTGCAGAATATCTGAGGGTTCCCCCCAGTTTTTGTAAGGTCCTTTGAACCCTCTGCTACATCATTCTCTTCTGCAGAGCCTGTCCATCTTCCCCTTGTCAGTAGTTAGCTGCCCAGCCTCTGTCGACTTTGCAGGTGATTTTGCTTAGTTCTGTCCCATCGCATTCACTTGCTGAAGTGCATAGACTTCCTGTCTCTTGCTGGACCTCTACTTTTGCTTGTGGGCAGCCTCACTGAAGGCAGTTGCTAAGGCTGATCTGGAAAGACCCTGCCATGAGGATGGGTGCGGGCAGAGAAGTCTGGATGGGAACTAAGTCTGTAAGTGCTCGTTGGTTCCTCGGGGAATATTTCTGTGTCAGGAAGTTTGTATAGGGAACACATCATAACTGTAGGAACTGATAGAACAAGAACTTCCTGACCCTGTATTGGAGTTTTCTTTTTGCTAGTAGAAGCAGCTGCCTTCCTGCTTTGGCCTAAAGGCAGAACTCTAGAAGAAGCTCAATATGTTGGGGCTTCTGAGCCCTTGAAAACCTCCTTACTCACCAGCCCTGTCAAGGAGTGTGGCCATGAACTACTCATGTTTTCTAGGGTTGAACAAGGCTAAGATTTTCATTCCCACCCATAGCACTGTACCTCTGGAGCCCAAGGGGCAGGCACTCTTCCCACTTGCCCAGGAGTCCTGTCACCTTAGTGTCATAAGCACTCATAAGAGGACAGCTTGTTCTGGGAGTTGGCTACTAGCCACTGGCTTCGTCTTTCTGCTGGCAAGAAGAAGCGGCTATGGAATGACCATCCCAGCAGCGAGTTGGCCTCTCCATGGGGCGTTTTGCTGAGTAAGTGACCCTTAAGGGCTGCTACTCTTGACTAAACTCTGCTAGCTTGTGTAGGAGGAGGCAGTGCTAACAGCCTCAAAAGAATGAGAACAAGCTCCAGGCAGGAAACCGGAAGCCGCTGGGGGAGAGCATGTGCCCTGCTTGTAGGAAAGTTGAATCTGGCTGCAGGTCTGATGTAATGATCAGGAGTATATGTCCAGAATTGCCCAATTTTCGGAGTTTTCAAGAGAAGCCAGAAATCTGTTGTATATTTTTGTGATATCTCCAGACATTTCAGGATGAAAGGTGTTTTAAAAGTTTCCATCTTAAAGACAACTGCTGCCCAGGTCCTGCTTTAGGGCCCACTGTTGTAGAGCCGCTAGAAGTCCAAACCTAAATGAACATCTTCAGGTTCCTTCTCCCCAGCCCCCAGTTTTCAGAGACTGAGGCCCACAGAACTGAAGTAAAATGTCTTAAGTCCCCAACTAGACCAGAACCGTGGACTCTAAATTCCTAGTCTGTTTGGCCAACTTACCTATTTTTAGACTCTACCTTTCCAGATTTTTCTTTCTGCAAAGGCTGCAAGTTTTTTTCCACTTGGTTTAGCTGTTTGCTGAGCCTCCCCGCCCGCCTCCCCCCGCGCCCCGGTCCCTGAGGTGTCTGCTGCTCTGGGGTAGCTGTGTCCTGTTGTGCAGGTGCACCACGCCTCCCCCTGACCTCACCCAGTTCCGCTTCACTTGGCTCACTCCCGGCAGTGTCATCTCACTCCAGGCATCCGTTGCTGCCCCCCTCTCTTACCTGCCATCCTCTTAAACTCACCTCAATGTCTTCTGACCCCATGTGACCAGTGGTATCTCAAGTGTTAATCATAAGAGGTTATAAATGTTTTAAGAGAACTTCATAAAAGTGTGTGAATATGGAGTGGGGAGGACTTGAGGAGGGAGGCGGGAGAAGGAAGCAGGGTTGTGGTATAGAATCTAGCCCTAAAACCCAGGCAGTCCCCTGCCCTTGTGAGAGCCACAGGGGAATGTGTTTCCTCTGTTTGTAGGCCTTTTGACTCTCCCCACTGCCCAATACTTTAGCCAATGCTGGGCTTGCATAAGGTTACAAAGGAATTTCTTGGGTATTTATTTATTTATTTATTTTTTATTGTTTTTTTGTTGAGACGGAGTTTCGCTTTTTGGCCCAGGGTGAAGTGACACCATCTTGGCTCACTGCAACCTCCGCCCCCCAGGTTCAGGCGATTCTCCTGCCTCTGCCTCCCGAGTAGCTGGGATTATAGGCGCCCACCACCAAGCCTGGCTAATTTTTTGTATTTTTAGTAGAGACGGGGTTTCACCATTTTGGCCAGGCTGGTCTCGAACTCCTGATCTCAGGTGATCCACCTGCCTCGGCCAAATCCTAACTCCCAAAATGTTAGGATTACAGGTGTGAGCCACTGCGCTTGGCCTTTCTTGGATATTTATTAACCATCAGACTTTAAAAAGTAATCCCAGGGAAGATACATCTCTGTCCTCAGAGACCTTTACTATACCATTGCCAAACCCAGTTTCCCACTTGCTCCTGCGGAGTTCCCAGCTCCCACACAAGGCCTTATGTGCACTGGTCAGAAGACCCTGTCGTGTTGTCCCCTGAGTGCATGGTGCCAGTCACTTAAGTTTACCGTAGATCCCATAGCCACCAGATCTGATGAGGGACTGCTGAGTCAGAGGAGTTAGAACAGGAGGGCCTTTGAATAATCACTGTAATCCCTCTCAACTTAGAACGGACTGAGAAATTGCCCATGGGCTCCATAAAAAATGTGGTCAGTGAACCTATCGAAGGACATGAAGACTACCACATGATGGTAAGTAGCACTGGCTGAGTCCAGCCTCTCACTAGACTCCTGCTTCACCTGGCAGGAAACAGTTTTAACTGAGCATGTTTAATGGAAGCAAACTCAGTCTCCAGAAGATGCACTTTTTTAAGACCCTCATGTTTTCTTCATCTACTTCGAACTTAATCCATGGCCTCTATTCCTAGTTCTGTTTATTTTGTACCCCCCAACACACACCTTCCATCGGTTTAAAGGGGATATATTTTCTCTTACCTCTTTTAGAAAAGTCTCTTTTGCCTCCCTCTTGTCATGTGTTGTTTCTAGATCAGGAAAACAAATATAAAGAGGAGGAATGGCTTGTGGATTTGTCTTGCGTATAAAACAAGACTTGCCCCAGCCTTGGTGTTGGTGAGGGCACCAGGCAGCCTCTTTTCTGTAATAATGATGCCGCTCTTGCCAGGCCCAGTGGCTGAGGGCCTTGTGGGAAGGACGGGCTCTGTGGAGCATCTATTCTGCATAGAGGCCACTCTGCAGAGAGCAGGCTTCCTCCAGGAAGACAGAATGTTTGGACATGGTCCGCAAGTCTGCAGAACAAAGCAAAAAATTCATTCCTCCCGTAAAATGAGCAGCTTGGGCAAAGTTTCCAAAATTTTCCCAGCCCTCTTTGGAGGGGCCACATTGACAACGAAGTTGATTCTGCCGTTGCCCATCAGGGTCCTGGCCTGAGCAGCTGTAGTGTGAGGGTGGGGCCTCCTGCCATTGTTCATCCAAGGAGGCAGGCCTTTCAGTGTCCATTCCATAGTGATGAAGCCACATCCGCCCCATCCCGGGAAGAAGGAACTAGTGGTTTGGCCTGTGGATTGGGGTACCAAGTCCCAGGCAGAGAGAGGTGTTGGAAGATCCTCTTGCTACAGAAAAAAAAAACAAAGGGGCTTAAAGTATGGTGGACAAGGGAGGCAGCCCTGTCGGCATCCTGCCCAGTGCTGCTGTAGCAAGGCCGTAGCTGGGAGTGCAGTCCCTAGGCTGTGGGGCTCCTGGGGTTTTGTCTTCTGGAAGTGATGATAATGTCACTGGGGCTTCTCTCAGGCCCCCGGCAGCCCTTCCACCCTACTCTTTCTGTGGTCTTTTTTTTTTTTTTTTGGAGACAGAACCTTGCTCTGTCACCAGGCTGGAGTGCAGTAGCACTATCTCGGCTCACTGCATCCTCTGCCTCCCAGGTTCAAGCGATTCTCCTGCCTCAGCCTCCCGAGTAGCTGGGACTATAGGCGCACGCCATCACACCCAGCTAATTTTTGTCTTTTTAGTAGAGACGGGGTTTCACCATGTTGGCCAAGATGGTCTCAATCTCTTGATCTCGTGATCTGCCCGCCTCAGCCTCCCAAAGTGCTGGGGTTACAGGCGTAAACCACTGTGCCCAGCCCTCTGTCTATAGTCTTTATTATAAAGATTGCGAACAGATTGGTTTGCCCTGGTTGGTGATTTTTTTCTGTTTTAACAGTTGGGCCAGGCGCAAAGAAAGAAAGAAAGAAAAAAAGAAAGAAAAAAGTTGGAGTTGAATATTTTTAACTGGGCCCCATCACTCCTTTTTGAATAATTTGTGTTACCAGTCGCACCCTATAGGGTTTGTAGCCTGAGTTTTCAAGCGGCCTGGTGGTAGGAAGTACAAGGAAGTTGAGTGGACTGTTTTGGACTTCTTTGGAGGAATTGGTGTGGATGGGTAATGACTTAGTATTTCATTGAAAAGTTCATTTCTCTCGAGTTATTTCCGGCAGACGATAGCTCTGATAGCCCCCTTCTCTTTTCCAAACACCTTTACCTTTGTCCTAATGAAAGTACTTAGTTATCTCTTTGTGCAGATGCCATTTCTTTAACTAAATTAACATGTCATCATTCACAGTTGGAAAACTGTGGCTGTGCTTTTTCATTTTTAGAGAAATGTTTTTAAAATACAGAAAAGAGGCTGGGCGCAGTGGCTCACACCTGTAATCCCAGCACTTTGGGAGGCCGAGGCAGGTGAATCACTTGAGGTCAGGAGTTCAAGACCAGCCTGGCCAACATGGTGAAACCCTGTCTCTACTGAAAATAGAAAAATTAGCCGGGCGTGGTGGCGCGCACCTGTAATCCCAGCTACTTGGGAGGCTAAGGGAGGAGAATCGCTTGAACCTGGGAGGCGGAGGTTGCAGTGAGCCGAGATTGCACCGCTGCACTCCAGCCTGGGCAACAGAGCGAGACTCCAGCTCAGAAAAAATACAAATAAAATACAGAAAAGAAAGAGAATAACTGTCACAAGCCCATATATCCGACATTGAGAAGTGGCAATTATAAATATTTTGTAATTTGCTTTAATTTTTTTTTTTAATAAAAGAAATAAAGTTTATTCACAGCAATGATGGCCCCACTGTCTTCCCCTCCCCCCATTACCATCGTCATGTGTCACGTGCGTCCTTCCCATCTATCCATTCTTTTATTTACACGTGTATCCACGAACAAGATGGAGTATTGTTTTGTGCTTCCAATTTTCATAAATGGTATCATGTATTGTGGTACAACTTGCTTTTCTTTGGTTCAACATAAGAATCTGTCAGTATTAACTGTAGATCCATGTGGACCCAGTTGATACCTCTTTAAAAAGAACTCCAGTATTGGTGTGATTAAGCCTTGTCACTTTGAATTCTACATTCCCTTACTGATGGATATGTAGGTTGTTGCCAGGTGTTTGTGGTTTCAGACAGTGCTCCAATGAACATTCATACCTGTTTTCTTGAGCATGTGTGACAGGTTTTCTAGGGCAGTGTTTCTCAAACTGTGGTCCCTGGATCAGTAGTGTTGCATCACCTGGGAGCTTGCTAGTTTCTCAGGCCCCACCCCAGACCTCCCCAAATTAGAAACTTCACAGGGGTGGAGCCTGCTGATCTGTGTTCCAACAAGCCCTCTAGATGGCTCTGATGACCACTTAGGTTTGAGAACCACTGCTTTAGGGTTGGCTCAGCTTAATCCTTACCCTGCCTGTTTTTGTTTTTGGTTGGGAGAACGCTCCCCACGTGCAAAGTTCTGTTTGGTTTTTCTTCCCTTTTTAATTAACTCATATCCCAACCCTCCCCCATGTTTGTCCTGCCTGATTGGTCTCCCGACCTCTGAAGTACCGCTTGGTTTTCCTTTTTCCCTTCCAGGCGTTTCAGTTGGGACCCACGGAAGCCTCTTACTACTGGGTGTACTGGGTTCCAACTCAATATGTGGATGCAATCAAAGACACTGTGCTGGGGAAATGGCAGTATTTTTGAAAGCACTTTCACCTCTGGCCCAGGAGACTGACCCAAAGTGAAGGACATTGCCGGGAGAGGCCTGCAGCATCCCTGGATTTCAGAGTTCTGGAACTTTGTTCACAAAAAATCTATATTCAGTCTGAGGTGATGTGGTGACTGAAGCCAGAGGTGATGTACTTTCACCATTAGCTTAATTTTAACTTAAAATGACCAGTTCCCTTTCTTGTAGTCAGCTTCATACCATTTTTAAACTCAATACGATGGAAATCAATAAATCTGAATTCCGAACATGTTGTGTGGAATACTCTTAAGTGTGTTTGAGAGTAGATCTGCCAATTATGTTGACAAGGGAATGATCAAAAGCTTTTTTTTTTTTTTTTTAAAAAAAAGGCGGTTTCAATTGAAATATTTTCATACATCTTTGGTTGCAAACATTTGGACTGCATTGCAATGAGTTGGGGTGTTTTTTTTTCCTTTTTTGTATAAAATTGTATGCAAAATGGAGGGGGGTTAGTAAGCCATATATTTCTGTCCATTGATTCAGATTTAATTCTTTCCCTTTTTCATTCTCTCGCTTCCTCGATTTGAGTTTTTGTTTTAAGAACCCAAAGATGTCAGTTCCTCTTTTGGTACCTCATCAACGCTTCCTTTCCTGGGCTCCCTCCCGCCGTGCTGCTGCTGCCTGTGAACGCACGGTGGGAGAGGAAGAGCTGCTCGGTCTTGGGCAGGGAGCTCTCACACTTGCTGTGGTGTTCGTTGAGCAGCAGAGTATCTCCCAGTGGCTCCTGTTTAAACGTCTTGCCCTTTGGGCCCCATCTCCGAGGAGTTCCATTGCTGATTGGATGATTGTCTGCACCCCTCTCTGAGCTTGGCCTAGAGGCCCCAGCCTGGCATGGTTGTGCCTGGGCTGTGCCACTCAAAAACCCCAGCTCCCAAGCAGACAAAGGCCTCTTCCAGGAGGAGCCAGGTAGAAGATAGACTATACAGCCGTATAGCTGCAGATCCAGATGTAAACTTCTTTCTTTGGAAGTTTTCAAGAAATTCTTAAGCAGTCCAAGGATGATTTCAATTATGCTTCTCCATTGGGTCCTTCTGCTCATGCATTCAGTTCAAGTGTCCTTTATCCCAGGTTCAGAGATGCTGCCTTTCTCAAGAAGACATCTGACCCTAGCAGGTTGGCCAATGCTATTGAACAACAAAAATGGGATAAATTGCTTTCATGATTAGCTCACCCTCTTCTGGTTTTAGCCCTTCTACCCTTCTGTTCTTTGTACACGTGAACTTCTGTCATCTCCGGCTGGCTTGGTTGCCTCTGAAAGGAGGGAAAGTCTCTTGGTAAATGATCTCCTTTGTGCTGTTTGCTGTTTCTCTGCTGCTGTCTTTGCAGTTCTCCTCTCACTGGTTGCAGGCTCTCATAGTAAGGTTTGGCGAGAAATGTTCCAAACGTCACATTTTGGATTCTAGGCTGTCATCCCTCGTTCTGTGAAACGTATTAGCATGTGTTCGCCCAAGATGACTATTTCTTGTGAGCCAGTTAATGATGATATTGTACGCCCTTCCCTTCTAAGCTGTAGTTCAGGAATCCAGCCCACATAGACTCTTGCTTTCCATGGTGTGTTCAATGCCAAGTGATGCATCTAGGCAGGAAAATCTACTCTTTGCTTTTTTGGGGGCAATTAGTACATTTGTGAAGTGCAGCATCCAAGAAACAGCCTGTTTTTCATCCCTTGAGAAAGGAGCAGTCATTGCAGCTTTTCTGTCCTTGTCGGCCTGCAGTTCCTGAGGAAAAGAGTGCATCTGAGCTACTTGTCCAAGCCTCTGTCTGCAGGTGACAGGTTTCGGGGGAAATGAGATGCATTAAGTAGACTGTCATCTCGGGTCAGACACTGCCCCTTTTGTTTGCCAATGCCCCAGTCCTAGAGACTTGTCCTGACAGTGCCGCACACCTACTTTTGATCTCTCAGAGCAGGCGGCTCCGTCCCCAGGCTGGCCTGGCTGCTCTTGGAGGCCTCTTCACTTGCTCCCCTTATTGCCCCATTCTTGTGGCTCGCCAGGCCACTTGGCCTCCCCTCTTGCCAGTGACAGCAAGCGTTTCCATCATCTCCCTGCTGCCCAAGGGCCAACTGCTTCTCACTCAGGCTGGTGTCGTTTCAGGAGGACCAAAGCCTGCGTGAGTGTTTTTATTTTCAGTAAAATGGTGCTTTTTTCCTTACTTCGAGATACTATATATAAATAATAATGTAAATGACACCTTTTCGTATGGAGCTGTTTGAGTATTGCTTTACAGAGCTTACTAAATCAGCTTCAGCAATCTTGAGCTCTGTGGCTCCTCACCCTGTCTGCATGGAAGACCTTGCTGGAAGCTCTCGGGAGAGCAGACATAACACCAGAAGCCACTGGGAGAAGTGTTTTCGATCGTGTCTGGGTCACAGTAGTATTCACTGTTCAGTCATTGAGTTCCGTGAGCAGTCTCTTCATACATTTCTTACAGTCTGGAGTGTACTGACTAAATCTGTGTAAGCAAATTGAAATAGTCTTTCTCTTAGGTAGCGTCACAGTGGTTTTTTTTTCCCTCAGGATAATTTCTATATAGTTTCCTCACTGTCAGAGGGATCAGATCTTTCCCTCACTGTGGCAGGGGGCGTGCAGGTGGATAAAGGAAGAGCTGGTTTCCGGAGAGTGACCATAACAGCATTGACTGGAAGCCAGAGATGGAGGGGGTGGCCATCTCTTACACACTGAACACCTCTCAGAGCCCCCTGAGGGCTTCTTTGTCTTCTAGAATCTGTACCAGTGGTCCTCCTGCAGGTTCTGGCTCACAGACATCATCACGCTTTTCTTTCACTCCCTGAGGCGCCTTGGCAGAAGAACATGACCCTGTGAGCCAGGCCCCCTCAGCTCTGCTTCAGATCACAGAACGCAGACAGACTCGCGAGTTGCTGGACCTCTTTGGTATTAAGTGTTTGAATCCACGATGGGCCTTTTGCAAGTAGCGTTAGCTCTTTTTAAATGTTGAACTGAGCTAAGGATGCACTTTCTTGTGGGCATAGAAGGGGCCCACGTGAGGCCCTGAGTAGGCTCCTTAGTTGCTGCTTTACCTAATGAGGGCCAAAGAGATTAACTCTGCCTCATTGCCATGTTTCAGAAAAGTTGCCATATTTCACCCAGAAGGGGCTCGTTTTCCTCTTACTCTTACTTTAACCATGTGCCTGGAGGAGCCGTTCTGGGCTCTTGCACTTGCCCAACCTTTCTTTGCCAGGGGCAGAGAAGGGAAAGGGGGTAGATTGAGTGTGCCAAGGGCCGTGCAAGGGCAGGCTTGCTTTCCACCCATCTGCTGAGGGAACCCTTGCCTCTTGCTCCTTGCCTCTGTTCACGCCTGTTGTCTTGGAAAAGGATGGTCCCTTTGTCTTAAGGCTTTGTGATAAAGTCATCTCCGGTTAGGATCGGCACCTCTTTCCTTCATCATAGTGCCTGGCAGCCTTTCTGAAGTTACAGGTGGTTGGGAGCCCTCTCACGTGCAGAACATCTGGTAGATTGACCTGCCAGGCTGGGTGGTTCTACTGCTTTCTCAATTTCTAAGAACCTTTTTTTTTTTTCCCTTAAAGAGTTCTGCAGAATTATTTGACAATATTTGTAAGTACCATGTTTCCTTGTGGTGTACGCTCTGTTCTCGTTTCTGTTTTTAAATCAAATGCCTGTTTGGGAGGAGATGAACGTATTTAGTCTATTAGATTTGCGCTGCTGGATTTTTTTTTTAAAGTGTAACCTTGACTAGCTGTCTTATTGTTTATCCTGTAAGATTAGTCTATTGATTAAAGTTTGATAATTAATTGCGTCTCTTTTTCCTTCCAATTCTTCATGCGCCTAATTCATACTGGGGATTAACCAACATTTGGAATTGGGCCCAGAGCCATTTCTTTGCCAGTTGTGGTCTTACTTGGCTTTAAGTATATTCAAATGTATTCTCTGCTGAAACAGTTGACGTTTACTCTGCAAAATGGTGAAAGTGACTGGCGTGCCAGTGAGCCACACTCCTGTTACAGTAGCATGGTCTGCTCCCTGGTCGGCCCTGGCCTCCACATGTTGGAAGAGAAGCTGCCTCTCTGTACTCATACCTCCCGACTAGTGCCATGGGCAACCCCACCTGGCCATTTAGCCTTCGAGGACATGTTTTAGAAAACACTGAGATTGGAGCTACAGGTTTAGCCCCAAGCTATAAAGACCCAGGAGTCGGGAGGAAGAAAATCTGTTACCAAAAAATGGGCCAGGCTCAGTGGCTTACACCTGTAATCCCAGCACTTTGGACACCACGGTGGGAGGATCCCTTGAGCCCAGGAGTTTGAGACCAGCCTGGGTAACATAGCAAGAGCCCCATCTCTACAAAAAATACAGATACCGGCCGGACACAGTGACCCACACCTGTAATCCTAGCACTTTGGGAGGCCGAGGCAGATGGATCACCTGAGGTCAGGAGTTTGAGACCAGCCTGGCCAACATAGTGAAACCCTGCCTCTGTTAGAAAATACAAAAATTAGCCAGATGTGGTGTCAGGTGCCTGCCCCAGCTACTTGGGAGGCTGAGACGCAAGAATCGCTTGAACCCCGGAGGCAGAGGCTGCAGTGAGCCGAGGTTGTGCCACTGCACTCCAGCCTGGGTGGCAGACGAGATTCTGTCTCAAAAAAAAGGCAGAGACTAAAACAGAATCCTTGGTATATGAAGAATGATAGAGTTTGTCCCTGCTGGTCTTACTTCTTCCTGGCAGGGGGAGGGGGTCAGCTCTTCACTTTTTCCCAGTACCTCATAATCCTGAAACAACACTGCTGGATGCTTAGGGATCTGACTGCTACATGGGGGAGAGGGAGCAGTGGGATTGTGTCACGTGCTATCCGTTGGCTGATGCCCACCTAGAGAATCTGCTGTCTGGTACTTCTAGGCTGGGTGTGGTGGATCATGCCTGTAATGCCAACACTTGGGAGGCTGAGGCGGGCAGATACCTGAAGTCGGGAGTTCGAGACCAACTTGACCAACATGGAGAAATTCCATGTCTACTAAAAATACAAAATTAGGCGGGCGTGGTGACCCGTGCCTGTAATTCCAGCTACTCAGGAGGCTGAGGCAGGAGAATTGCTTGAACCCGGGAGGTGGAGGTTGCAGTGCGCTGAGATCGCGCCATTGCACTCCAGCCTGGGCAGCAAGAGTGAAACTCCATCTCAAAAAAAAAAAAAGGAGACCACCTGGCAGGATGTTTTGACCTCTTGCTATGTGCCAGGCAAATCAGGCAAATGCTGCTTCTCGAGGCCTCCAGCCCTGGAGGGAAGAAGAGTGGACATCACCTTTGGGTGCTCTTCCACCACGTACTTGCTCTAAACACTCTGCATTCAGGTCCTGTGACATCAGCTCCTTATGTCTTAGCGTGAAGAATGTTATGTGCATTATGTAGTCAACACCGCACCACATCCCTCCTGTGACCCCTGCTTCGGCCACTAGAGGAAATCTTAGGTTCAGAGAAGTTAGATGGCTTAGCCAATGCCACACGCCTGTTACCAAGTGAAGCTACAATTCAGAACCCAGCTTTGCCTGATGCTCAAGTCTGTGCTCTTAGATACTTACCTTGTACTTGAGAAGTTAGGAAAGAACCCAGCTGCTTTATTTTGCTTTCAGATTTTTTCTTTCCTCGGTTTTGCTGTGTGTCCTAAGGGCACTAACCTGGGTGCGTGACTTGCTCTTTTAAATTTTGAACCTTGGCATTTGTTTATTGGCTTTATTAATTAGCCTTGCGTATTAATAAAGTTAATTTGTCAGTTAAATTTGTTTAATTGGTTTTATTTATTAGCTGGCTACCACTTAAAACATTAAAACAGTAACACATGCACGTGATAAAGAATTTCAGGTGATAGGTAAGTCTTTCACTCAGTTCTCCTAGCTTCTCAACCCCAGCACCAAATCATCCCTGAAGAAGTAGAATTCACATTATGCTCAAGTACTTAAGTGTGCATCCCAGGGGCAGAGGACCAATCATTCCCACTTAAGCCACTTCCTAGAGTGGGGTGAGTGGACTCCTCCGTGGGAACTTAGCAGGAGGGAGCCGGCACTGGGGAAGCACCTCAGCAGCGCTCAGACTCCAAACCTGACATTTTTCTTGAGCTCTTGCTCATTATCCGTTGCCTGCTCGGGTATCCCACAGACACCTCAAATTCAATGCATCAAATCCAATCCTCTGGTCCCTGCTTTAGACCACAACTCACCCAGTACTGGTAGGTTGGGAGATAGCTTAGACACAACTGATCAGATTCTGCCATTTATTTGTTTTATTTTATTTATTTTGAGATGGAATCTCCGTCGCCCAGGCTGGAGTGCAGTGGCGTGATCTCGGCTCACTGCAACCTCTGCCTCCCGGGTTCTCCTGCCTCTGCCTCCCAAGTAGTTGGTATTACAGGCACCTGCCACCATGCCTGGCTAATTTTTGTATTTTTAGTAGAGAAGAGGTTTCGCCATGTTGGCCAGGCTGGTCTCGGACTCCTGACTTCAGGTGATCCACCCACCTCAGCCTCCCAAAGTGCTGGGATTTCAGGTGTGAGCCACTGCACCCCATCTGTTTTTCAATTCTTTTTTAGAGAGAGGGTCTCCCTTTGTTGCCCAGGCTGGAGTGCCATGGTGCAATCATAGCTCACTGTAGCCTCTAATTCCTTGACTCAAGTGATCCTCCCACCCAGCCTCCCAGGTTCTGCCATTTTATTCCCAGAATCTCTTGCCAATCCATCTCTCTTTATCCCAACCTCCAAATCTGGGACTAACTGGTACTACAGGCATGTGACACCACACTCAGCTAATTTTTAATTTTTTTGAAGAGACAGGGTTTCACGATATTGCCCAGGCTGGTCTCAAACTCCTGGCCTCAAAGTACTGGGATTAACAGAACAGGCATGAGCCACCATGCCAGGCCTCTCATGACACTTTTTAAAGTCCAGGCCTTATAAACTGTCCCACCTTCCGGATTTGTTTCCTCATAGTGAGATTCAAGTGACATGATTTTCGCAGGAGTGCCTCAGAGGTGACGTGACCTCGGTGCCTCACGTCGGGAGCAGCATAGGAGGTTGGCTTGTTGCGTCATTGGTGATGCTGAGTGTGATAACCTCCACCTAGGTTGTACCTATCTCCCTTACAAGGTGGTGAGTTCCTGGAGATGGGAGACAAACTATATGGTGTGAAACTGTACTCAGGCTCCAGGAGTGCTTAACACACAGTGGGTACTTCCTTGTATGTGGAGCGAGTGAGGGAACTTGCTGTGTGGAGGACACAGTGAGAAGACGGAAGCAGCTCCACTGGAGATGGGGTGGGGATGGCTGGAGACAGGGCTGGGACCAGGTCATGACAGGCTTCACAAGCCACCCTTTCCTAGTGGGAACGGTGTACAACAGGCACAGATCCTCAGAGGTGTCTTCAGCAGCTATTAAATACCATATGCATACAATTCCATTTACCCTGTTCTTGAATTCACACACACTTTGGAATGCTACATTTGGCCAGTTTGCTGCCTATCTATAGCGGCACAGAAGTCTCTCAGCAGAACATTCTGATAAGCTCTTAGAGCAGAAAGAACAGAAAGGCCTTTGCTATTGCTTGAACAACCAGACCCTAAATGGCCCTGGGGATGAATGATCTGTGTGTGTGAGATCCAGTAAATGTCTTCCCTCATTCTGGCTTCTTCGGGGCTTACACCAGCTACTGGATGACGTGAATGGGCTGTTTCACTGCAGGCGTCTGCTGAAGATAGTAGCAAAGCAGGCACTCAAGTGGCAGTACAGTCAGACTTTGTGATCTTAGGCAGACACAATCACAGATGCTTTTTTTGGCAAAATGTACAGCTGCCATGGGATTTAAAATAGCCAGAACAACTTGGGGACTATACCGGACGTTCCAATCAAAGGAATAACACACAGCCTGTTTACTCCCGATTTGATCACCAGTGCTTAGTAAGTGCTCAAGCTATTGTTAAATAAATGCAGTTGTAAAAAAACAATGAAGAAGCACCTTATCCTCCAATTGGGCAGTTTTCCAAGATATGTTGCTGAGTATTGAAAAAAAATAAAAAAGGTCTAGTGTAACAATGTATGATTTTCATGACTGAAAAGGATATGCTTTCTATTGCTAAAAAGGGGCCAGGCTCAGTGCCTCACGCCTGTAATCCCAGTACTTTGGGAAGTAGAGGCGGGAGGATCTTTTGAGCCCAGAAGTTCAAGACCAGCCTGGGTAACACAATGAGACCCCATCTCTATAAATAACTTGAAAAATTAGTAGTGGTGTGCCTACTTGGGAGGCTGAGGGAGGAGGATGGCCTGAGCCTGGGACGTTGAGGCTGCGGTGAGCCACTATCGTGTCACTGCACTCAGACTGAGTGACAGAGTGAATGTCTCAAAGAAACAAAAATGAGGTTTGCATTCGACCCAGCAATCCCATTACTGGATATACATAAAGGAATAGAAACCATTCTACCATAAAGACACATGCATGCCTGTGTTCACTCACTGCAACACTATTCACAATATCGAAGACATGACATCAACCTAAATGCCCATCACAACTGCAGACTGGGTAAAGAAAATGTGTAGGCTGGGTGCGGTGGCTCTCGCCTGTAATCCTAGCACTCTGGGAGGCCGAGGCAGGCAGATCACTTGAGGTCAGGAGTTCGAAACCAATCTGGCCAACATGGTGAAACCCTATCTCTAATAAAAATACAAAATAAGTATCTGGGCATAGTGGTGGACGCCTGTAATCCCAGCTACTCAGGAGGTTGAGGCAGGAGAATCACTTGAACTGGGGAAGCGGAGATTGCAGTTAGCCAAGATTGCGCCATTGCATGCCAGCCTGGGTGACAGAGCGAGACTGTCTGAAAAAAAAAAAAAAAAAAGAAAATGTGGGCCGGGCGCGGTGGCTCAAGCCTGTAATCCTAGCACTTTGGGAGGCCGAGACAGGCGGATCACAAGGTCAGGGGATCGAGACCATCCTGGCTAACACAGTGAAACCCCGTCTCTACTAAAAAATACAAAGAAAACTAGCCGGGCGAGGTGGCAGGCGCCTGTAGTCCCAGCTACTCGGGAAGCTGAGGCAGGAGAATGGCGTAAACCCGGGAGGCGGAGCTTGCAGTGAGCCAAGATCGGGCCACTGCACTCCAGCCTGGGCGACAAGAGTGAAACTCCGTCTCAAATAAAAAAACCCATGGGGTGTTATGCTTATTACCTGGGTGAAATAATCTGTACACCAGACCCCATGACACATAATTTACCTATATAACAAACGTGCACGTATACCCTTGAACCTAAATAAAAGTTAAAAAAGAAAAAAAGGAATATGCCTGCCTAACATGCCTGAAATAACTCTAGAGCAACCCAGAAGGAACCAGCGTATTGGTACCTGCAAGAAGGGAAGCAGATGAGTGTGGACCCAATCCCAGAGCTGACACCCATCCTTCGACCACCTCATCTCTCAGCCATGAGATTCTCGGCTGGCTGAGGGCCCTCACCTTAGTCCCTCTGCCTCGAAGACACTACTTACTGTAGGCCTTTGGTTCCTCTTCCCTCCCCGTACTAGAAATGTCAAGTAAAAGGAAAGCAATTATTTTGATGTAACTCTCAAACTAAACCTTATCAAGAGCTAGGCAATGTGTACATATTATCTACATCAACCCCAAGGAACCAACACAGTGCTAAAGAGTAAAAGGAGCAGAACTGATAATGATGTGTGGCAATGTCAAAGTGACCTTCCAGGAGGAAAGAGAGCCTCCCATTCTCCAAAACTGTTAAACTGTATTAATTTAGAAAGGGATCTTTAGGACAGGGATGAACAACTAGTCCCACCTGCTGATGTCAGCTGATAATAAGCTAATGGAAACCAAAACAAATTTTTTTTTTAAGCAGAAAGTCCATTTCCATGAATATATTCACTCCTGATATGAAGGTGGGGAGAGAGCCTTACTTCAAGTACACGGTTGGAGAAGCCATTGTTTTTGACATGCTTGATACCAATGACAAATCAGACCTTTAAAAATATTAAGCAATGTCAATATGAAAATATAAAAAAGCACTTTATAGACATCATTGAAAAACTGAAGACTGGGGAAAATGTTGGTTTTATAGATTTATTTTCAAAGAGTAAAACACTTATACAATTTAAATACACGTCCATCAGAATCACTCTGTCAGAGTCAGCAATAATGCGAAAATGTGTCCTCACTGCCGGACATTCGCCACTATCATATGAATCCTCTCCCCAAAGCCAAAGGGTCTGGAAAAGATAAAATAAGTTCAATGTTACTTTTGATGTGTTCTTACTAATGGTAAGTGACATCTTTCAGGTGCTAAAAATGCAGCATCTGGCTGAGTGCAGTGGCTCTCGTAATCCCAGCCCTTGGGGAGACCAAGGTGGGCGGATCACCTGAGGTCAGGAGTTCAAGACCAGCCTGGCCAACATGGTAAAACCCCATCTCTACTAAAAATATAAAAATTAGCTGGGCGTGGAGGTACACGCCTGTAATCCCAGTTACCCAGGAGGCTGAGGCAGGAGAATCGCTTGAACCCAGGAGGCGGAGGTTACAGTAAGCCGAGATCATGCCACTACACTCCAGCCTGGGCAACAGAGCAAGATTCCATCTAAAAAAACAAACAAACAAAAAGACAGGGTCACTAAAAGCTAAAGACACTAATACAATGTTTTAATGCAAAAAGTCTTATTTGACTATTCTAGGGCCCAAGTAACAAGAGCTACTATTTACTGAGAGGCTTCTTTACATCATTGTATTAAGTGATATATACACTCTCTGCAATTTTGCTTTCACAAAAGCCCCAGGTAGGTCCTATCATTACCCCCATATTACATACGAGAAAACTGAGGCTTACAGAGCTAAGCAGTCTGCCTGAGACCACCAGGCTTACGGAGTGTGGCAGAGCTGAAAATAAACTTGGGTGTGTCTTGGCTCCAAAGTCCATCTTCTTACCCATGAGGCCTCTCTTGCCTAATTAAGAGCCAGGTCGGGCCGGGCGCGGTGGCTCACGCCTGTAATCCCAGCACTTTGGGAGGCTGAGGCGGGCGGATCATGAGGTCAGGAGATCAAGACCATCCTGGCTAACATGGTGAAACCCTGTCTCTACTAAAAATACAAAAAATTAGCTGGGCGTGATGGCGGGCGCCTGTAGTCACAGCTACTTGGGAGGCTGAGGCAGGAGAATGGCGTGAAACCAGGAGGCGGAGCTTGCAGTGAGCCAAGATCGTACCACTGCACTCCAGCCTGGATGACAGAGCGAGACTCCATCTCCAAAAAAAAAAAAAAAAAAAAAAAAGAGCCAGGTCATCTCAGTGTCTTACCCAGCAGGCTGGACTTGCCTTGGGTGAATAATTGAGGGAGACAGAGGTCTGTTTCCAGGTTACCCTGCTCAGTACTTTGTACAAAACTCTGCTTTTGTGAGGAGAGCTGACAGTCAAGGGAGTTCTATCCAGGAATGACAGCTCTCAACCTCTCAAAGATCACCACCACGGCTGGGCCCCTTTGAGTGGCAGACAACAGGAAAGGGCTTGCATTTTATAAGCAGTGAAAAATCTTGGTCAAGCATTTCCATTTTCTATTTCTTCTTGAGTTTCCTTTATTGAAGAACCACAGACAATTAAATCTACGGGTGAACATCATTTTAGAAGTCTAATTATTTACCTGATACTTTATTCATACACATCCTTCTTATCTGCAATGTAATCTACAATTTCTTGTGGACACATTAGCTTTTCAGCATCTGTATCAGGAATTTCAAACCCTAAAAGAAAAATACACAACAATGTGAGAGAGTTTAAAAAAAAAAATCCTTTAGAACTGAACACACCTGACCCTTCTACAACAGCTACAAGTATATCAAAACTTTCAGCAACCTTGAATGCCATTTAGGTTGTGGGCCAGTTAGCTTCTAGACAGTATGCATGCAGGTTGGGTACAATGCTTTGGAGGTATGTTTGTTTGTTTGTTGAGACAGAATTCATATAATAGCAAATTCCTCCTTGTGTGTGTGTGTGTGTGTATATATATATATAAAAATTTGGTAGTGTGTGTATATATATATATATAAAATTTTGTTTTTAGTATATTCAGAACATTGTGCAACCATCACCATTGTGTAAAAGAGACCCAGTGCCCATCAGCAGTCACTCCCCATCCTCCCTAGTTCTGGCAACCACTCGTCTACTTTCTATCTTGATTTGCCTCTTCTTGACATTTCATGTAAATGGTATATAACGTGTCATCTTCTGTGTCTGGCTTCTTTCACTCAGCACGTTCTCGAGGGTCATCATGCTGTAACACACGTCACCCATGCCTTTTTTTTTTTTCATGATGGTTGGGTTTTTATAAATGGCTGGGTTTGGATAGTTAGCTTACTTTGGGCCAAACGCTGTGCTGAGCATTTTACACATAATCTCTAATTCTCACAGCAATCCCAATCCTGGGGTTCCTACTATTATCACCCACTTTACAGCTGCGGAAACAGGTTTTGAGAGGTTGTTACTTGTCCAGGCTCATACCTAAGCTCAATTCCAGACCTGGTACTGTGAAGCACTAGGCAAAGGATTCCATCCTAGTCAGCATCATCTGTGAGGAATTTTAACTAGGCCCTGCTCTGCAGAATAGCACAGAAGTCCTTTGATTTCCTATTCAACCAACTCACGCAGAAACAGCCATGGAGCCTTAGAAAGGTCTCACTTGCACAACACACCGTCCCAAACTTGGAGTGTGCACGTGAGCCAGGATAGAAGACCAAGGCCAGAGGCTCTGGGTGCGTCTCTTGTCCTGGCACACATTACTTCTACCTGGTTCACGTTAGCCGAGCTCAGGAGGGGCTGACGTGCCATCGGCATGTGTTCCGGGCAGGCTTTTGCCCTTTGTCTTAGAACTCCGTCTGAAGAATCAGTCCCCCGGAACCATCTCTGGTCATTCGGCTCTTGGCACAACACTGGGCACTCTGCTGGGCTTGTGCAAGGTGCTTTCTGAATAAATGTACCATCCCTAAAGCTTACTTCACCTGATGGTAAGTGGGCAGGAAGGTGTGTGTGTAGGGCAGTGGATACTACTGTTTCTACTAATATTTAATTCTAACTGCAATTCAGACTCCCACCATTTCTTTCAGTTTAATCCACCTTAATCAAAAATCACAGTATATAGATACAAGACTGAGCCTTACCGAATTCGTCTTCCATGGCCATGATAATCTCCACTTGGTCCAAACTGTCTAAGCCCAGGTCTTTCATAAAATGAGAATCTACTGAAAGCTGCAAGAAAGGAGCACCAAACACAAAATTTAGTCCATGAAAGCATTTGCTTCCCAAGATAACAGGGTGGTACAATGCCACTTAATCACTATATCGAATTTTTTTATTATACTTTAAGTTTTAGGGTACATGTGCACAACGTGCAGGTTTGATACACAGGTATACATGTGCCATGTTGGTTTGCTGCACCCATCAACTCATCATTTACATTATGTATTTCTCCCAATGCTATCCCTCCCCCAGCTCCCCACCCCCTGACAGGCCCCGGTGCCTGATGCTCCCCGCCCTGTGCAACCGATCTCATTGTTCAGTTCCCACCTATGAGTGAGAACATGAAGTGTTTGGTTTTCTGTCCTTGTGACTATATCGAATTCTTTTTAACATACAGAGGCCATGGCTGACATTTTATATGTAACCTGTGCTGGTATGTACATGGTTTGCTTTATCTTATTCTACTTTATTTTAAAGTGAACAGTATATCCATAGCTAATGAAGAATTTCACTCTGTATGTTTTTTTGTTTGTTTTTTGTTTTTTGAGAGAGTCTCTCTCTGTCACCCAGGCTGGAGTGCAATGCAATGGCACGATCTTGGCTCACTGCAAACTCGGCCTCCCGGGTTCAAGCGATTCTCATGCCTCAGCCTCCTGAGTAGCTGGGATTGCAGGCACCCACCACCATGATGCCCAGCTAATTTTTTTGTATTTTTAGTAGAGACAGGGTTTTTGCCATGTTGGCCAGGCTGGTCTTGAACTCCTGATCTCGGGTGATCACCCACCTCAGCCTCCCAAAGTGCTGCGATTACAGGCATGAGCTCCCGCACCCGGCCCAATCTATATGTTTTACTGAGATCTCTGATCATTGCTCTGAATGACATCTGAAGAAGTTTGGGTATTTTTGCTGCCTTACTGACAACTAAGGCCTAGACTCCACACCTTAAGTGGCATTATGATTATAAACTGTAGGCAGCTTCATGTTACAAAGTGTTTACTATCACCCTATCACTCTAATTTAGACCTCAGGATCACCAGGAATGATTCTTCAAAAACGCATATCAAAAACAAACTGCCTTACCTACACAACAGATTCCATTTATTTTCGTTGTTACACAGAGTCTCACCCTGCCGCCCAGGCTGCAGTGTGCAGTGGCGTGATCTCAGCTCACTGCCTCCTCTGCCTCCCTAGGCTGGACTGCAATGGCGCTATCTCGGCTCATTGCAACCTCCACCTCCTGGGTTCAAGTAATTCTCCTGCCTCAGCCTCCTGAGTAGCTGGGATTACAGGTATACAGCACCATGCCTGACTAATTTTGTATTTTTAGTAGAGATGAGGTTTTTCCATGTTGGTCAGGCTGGTCTCGAACTCCCAACCTCAGGTGATCTGCCCGCCTCAGCCTCCCAAAGTGCTGGGATTACAGGCATGAGCCACCGTGCCCGGCCACTTGTGTTTTTTAAAAAGGGTGAGATACACATATAATATACACATAATATACACACATATGCGTATACTTCTTTAACATATGCATTGAATACCTTTGGAAACACACATGAAACTGGTAGTGCTGGCTGTCTCCCAGAATGGGCCTGGGTGGCTGGGAGCCAAGGAGATTTTTACTGAGTATCTTTCCCTTTGCATTTTGTACCATGTAATTTAAATACTCTATATTTAAAGAAAAAAATTCAAACCACCATCAGTTACCTTCTCTGGGTCAATCTTGTCATAGAGTTTCAATACGTAAAGAACACGGTCCCGGATGCCCTCTAACGTCAAAGGGGGCATGTCGCTATACTGGCGGCACAACTGTGTAACTCTACCAGGAACCTAGAGCGAGGGCAGGAAGGAAACACTGTCATTGAACGGAAAATGCCTCTAAATCAATGCACAAGCCTATAGGTAACTTTCACAGAACTTTTAGGGCTATAGAGAACGCACAGCATCTGATTCTCATTGTGGCCGTTAGGACACACCAAGTTGCAGGACTGGGTAATTGCAGAAGCCCCAACAGTTCGGCAGCATCTCAGGCCTCCTTCCTGGGAGCCAGGACCGGCTCCTCTGCCTCCTGGGTTCAACCCTCAGGCTCTGGACATTCATCCTGCTCTGCGACACTAACTGCCACTAAAATTGTCTAGCGTCTGCAGAATGCCTATGTCTTCTCATGGCATCTTCAGCATCCCGAGGCCTCTATAGGGTGCTGCCACCTTTAATAGGCAGACCCAAGTCAAAAAATCCACCAGGAAAGAGCTGTCATGGTAAACCCAAAGGCAATTCAAACTGAGGACCATACACCAGAAAGGTCTAGTTTGGTTCCAGCAGGTATCTATCTCCCTGACCTCAGCCAGGACAAAGGAAGCTGGCCACCCACCCAAAGAGAGGATGAGGGAGCTTACAGTCATTATATTCCAATCTGTTTCCCTTCCAGCAAGGCTTGCCTCATGGCCACCAGCCAAACCACGAGCCCTTCTGGCCTCTGCCATGTTAGAGCAATCTCTCACGTATCTCTGCTATTAGTCGGCTCGATGTTTAGGTATTTTAGGGTACTGACCAGATTTCATTCAACAAATGTGGAATGAGCTGCAATTACAGGTCAGGGGGTTTAATGCTGTGGAAGGTACAACACAGAACCAGAGAAAACAAAACAGGGTATATGGCAGTTTTGCTCACTACAGAAATCCCTAATCTGGCTGGTCATGGTGGCTCACGCCTATAATCACAGCACTTTGGGAGGCCAAGGTGGGCAGATCACCTGAGGTCAGGAGTTCGAGACCAAGCTGGCCAACATGGTGAAACCCTATCTCTACTAAAAATACAAAAATTAGCCAAGCATGGTGGTGGGCGCCTGTAATCCCAGTTACTCAGGAGACTGAGGCAGGAGAATCGCTTGAACGTGGGAGGCAGAGGTTGCAGTGAGCCGAGACCATGCCACTGCATTCCAGCCTGGGCGACAGAGCAAGACTCTGTCTCAAAAAAAAAAAAAAGGAATCCCTAATCTAAGTTGGTTTGTTTACCTCCTGAAGTTGATTTTAAGTCCAAGGCTTGGAGTTCTTAAGGCATTTCCCTATAGAAAGTGGGGCTGCTTGTTAGGGCTCAGGTCCCTGAAACTCACAAAGGTCCATGAAAAATCATAATAAATACTGCCCAGGGAACCAAACCAGTATAACCTCTGTATAAGAAACATTCATCTTGCATAAAGAACAGGTATTGGGCCACGTGTAGTGTCTCACACCTGTAATCCCAGTACTTTGCAAGGCCGAGGTGGGCCAATCACTTGAGGCCAGGAGTTCGAGACCAGCCTGGCCAACATGGTGAAGCCTCGTCTCTACTAAAAATACAAAAATTAGCCGGGCATGGTGGTGTGTGCCTGTAATCCCAGCTATTCAGGTGGCTGAGGCATGAGAATTGCTTGAACCCAGGAGAGAGGTTGCAGTGAGCTGAGATCATGCCACTGCACTCCACCTTGGGCCACAGAGCTGAGACTCTCTCTCTCAAAAAAAAAAAAAGAAAAGAAAAGAAAAAGAAGTCAGTTATTAAAATCAGGTTTACGCCGGGCACAGTGGCTCACACCTGTAATCCCAACACTTTGGGAAGCTGAGGCAGGTAGATCATGAGGTCAGGAGTTCGAGACCAGCCCGACCAACGTGGTAAAACCCCATCTCTACTAAAAATATAAAAATTAGCTGAGCGTGGTAGCATGTGCCTGTAATCCCATCTACTCAGGAGGCTGAAGCAGGAGAATCGCTTGAACCTGGGACACAGTGAGCCAAGATCACACCATTACACTCCAGCATGGGCGACAGAGTGAGATTCCTTCTCAAAAAAAAAAAAATCAGGTTTAATCAGCAAGCTAAAGAGATGAGTTGGAGAGTATGATAGATACTCTAACCGAGTCTTTCTGAGTACTTTCAAGCGTTTTAGAGCACTTTTCTTTGTCTAAATGTCTGGTCTCCTTTCCTATTATACATGGTATCATTTCCTACTATGGGTTAAGGAGACCTTTGATACAGGCACATCATCGGCCTACTTAACAATGACTCAAATAGGTTTCCAAGTCATAAATAAAATGGAGAAGGAATAAAGAGAAAGGGGGAGAAATGAGGTAATATGGCAATGGCAGAAAAGAAGTTTCAGGTGGAGGGACCCAACAGAGGCTGTGTGCTTATCAAGAAATGGTATGAGGCCAGGTGTGGTGGCTCACGCCTGTAATCCCAGCACTTTGGGAGGGCACGGTGGGCGGATCACTTGCGGTCAGAAGTTTAAGACCAGCCTGCCCAACATAGTGAAACCCCGTCTCTACTAAAAATACAAAAATTAGCCGGGCATGATGACGTGTGCCTACAATCCCAGCTACTCAGGAGGCTGAAGTGGGAGGATCACTTGAACCTAGGAGGCAGAGGTTGCAGTGAACTCAGATCTTGGCTCTACACTCCAGCCTGGGCGATAGGGTGAGACTCCTCCTCCAAAAAAAAAAAAGAAAAAAATGGTACGAGGCCAGGTGTGGTGGCTCACGCCTGTAATCCCAACAATTTGGGAGGCCAAAGTGGAAGGATTGCTTGAGCCCAGGAGTTCCAGACCAACCTGGGCAACAAAGCAAGACCTTGGACCCAGGGAGACTGGTGAGGATATATTCTATGTTCGTACATAGCTACCTATGAGGTCAACTAGGTTGTCAGCATTGTCCTCAGCAGCTCAGGCAAGTACCTACAGGGGCCAGGTGGGCACCGTGTGATTAAATTAAATGAGTCTCTGACTGGAGGCCACATGCCATCTAGAGTGGGTGCTGCATCAGGGTCAGCATGAGGCAGTAAGGTGGTGGGCAAGAGCTCAGACTCTGAAACTAGACCGCCTATGCCTGCACCATGGTGCTGGCTCTCACTAGTTGTTTGGCCTTGGGTGGGTTACTTAACCTTGTACACCTCAGTTTCCTCATCTGTAAAATGGGGATAAACACCAGTACCATGCTCACAGGACTGTTGTGAAGAGATGAAGTAAAGGGCTTGGACATTGGCTGGCACTTACACAGTAAGTGCTATTTTGGGTTATTTAGTAGGATCCTGAGACCAATGACCAGCAGCAGCTAGTTTGATACCTTGGCTGTAGCGTAGCCCCAAAATACTTGATCCTACTCCCCTCTCATGCTTCTGCCTCTGGTCTCTATTGATTTCTTTTTCTTTTTTTTTCAGACAGTCTCACTGTGTTGCCCAGGCTGGAGTGCAGTGTTGTGATCTCGGCTCACTACAACCTCTGCCTTCTGGGTTCAAGTGATTCTTATGCCTCTGCCTCCCAAGTAGCTGGGATTACAGGCATGCTCCACCATGCCTGGCTAATTTCTGTATTTTTAGTGGAGATGAGGTTTCACTATGTTGGCCAGGCTGGTCCTGAACTCCTGGTCTCAAGTGATCCACTCACCTCAGTCTCCGAAAGTGCTGGGATTACAGGCATAAACTACCACGCCTGGCCTCCATTGATTTCTTATCAAGTCAGGCTATGATATTGCCCTAAGCACTTTACACACATCATCTTCCTTCAGCTCTCCAGTAATCTGGTGAGATTCATGATACTATCACCCTCCTTTTTACAGATGAGAAACTGAGGCAGGGGGAGGTTAGGTATCCCCCTCACCCCCATGTTCTTCCAGCATGGCCTCTTGGAAGGTCTTGTTGCTCCTTCTAGCTGGATCTCTGTTGACTGGGAAAAAATAAAAGGGATACAAAATGGACAAGCACCTCCCCAACAGCCAACATGTGAGGTTTCTGGTGTTAATTGTTCTTCCTCAAGATCTACACTTAACAATTATATGGGCAATAAACCACCTCTCCCAGACATCAGAGAAGGTACTGTTTGCAGGTAAACAGTGACGGCCCTCTGGACTAGTAATTCAAATGCATGAGGTTCCATCAGAATCCAGGTACTCCACTGGGGCCCACTTTTGCCTGAGGCAAACTCAGAGGAGGCTAAGGAGAGGGCTTTAAAGGCTGTCTCTACAAACTGCCGACTGGTCCACTCTACACAGGCAGCCCAGACCTCTCAAACTCAACAGTTTGGAAATGAACTCCTGACCTGTCTCCAAAACTCCTGCTTAGAGACCTCTGTTCCTTCTCCACCACCTGGGGCTTATTCCTTCAATAAGCCCTGCTTCATGTTCACTCCCTATGACTTTGGCAGAGAACATCCACAATTCCTCACTGCAGCACACAGCTCCCTTCATGATATGCTCACTCTCTTCCCCCCAACAATGTTCCCTTCCAGACACCCTAAGAGTCAACCACAAGGGCTCTTCCTGGTCTCTGCACAGGCCTTCAAGATCATGTTTGCTGAGAGGTTGGTCAAGTACCTCTTTTTGCTTCTGCACTACACACACCTGTTCTCACAATGTCTTGCCTTTATCTATTTACATGACTGTCTCAGAAGCCTGGGAACTTAACCTGTGTGCCAAGAACTGTGCAATGGGCTGGAAATGCAAAGATGAATATGACACAACCTTCCCCCCAGAGAAGCTTACACTCTAATGGAAAAGACCAATCCACAGATCATTTTAGCTGAAATAAAAATATGGCAAGCACCACGACAGAAGTATCTGTAGGCTGATGCAATAACAAAGGTTGTCACTCAGTCCTTGAGTGGCCAGGAAGGAGGATGCCAGACTTGGCATCTTGGCTCACTGGCAATCTCGGCTCACTGCAACCTCCGCCTCCTGGGTTCAAGCGATTCTCCTGCCTCAGCCTCCTGAGTAGCTGGGACTACAGGCGCGTGCCACCACGCCCCGCTAATTTTTTTTATTTTTAGTAGAGAAGGGGTTTCACCGTGTTAGCCAGAATGGTCTCCATCGCCTGACCTCGTGATCCGCCCGCCTCGGCCTCCCAAAGTGCTGGGTTTACAGGCGTGAGCCACCGCGGTGGCTTAATTTATGTATTTTTTTGTAGAGACAGGGTTCCACCATGTTGCCTAGGAAGGTCTCAAACTCCTGGGCTCAAGCGATCCGCCCACCTCAGCCTCCCAAAGTGCTGGGATTACAGGCATGAGCCACCGCGCCTGGCCAGACACACTTATTTTTCACACTAACATGCAGACAAGGTTGAAACCCTATTACCTGAAGTCTATGACTTTGAAAAGGGGTTTCATAACTTGACCTTGAGTCTATCCTACCTTAAGAAGGTTATTTTTATTCTCAATTGCACTTCAGAGTCATCTGGAGAGCCTAGAACAACAACAGGCCGGGCGCGGTGGCTCACGCCTGTAATCGCAGCACTTTGGGAGGCCAAGGCTGGTGGACTGCGAGGTCAGGAGTTCAAGACCAGCCTGGCCAATATGATGAAACCCCGTCTCTACTAAAAATACAAAAATTAGCCAGGCATGGTGGTGGGCGCCTGTAGTCCCAAATACTCGGGAGGCTGAGGGAGGAGAATCGCTTGAACCTGACAGGCGGAGGTTGCCGTGAACCGGAGGTTGCAGTGAGCCGAGATCACGCCACTGCACTCCAGCCTGGGCTACAGAGCGAGACTCTGTCTCAAAAACAACAACAATAACACCACCACCACCATGGCAGGGCATCATCCCAGAGGAATAAATCAGCAGGAAGGGGGAGGGGGCAAAGCTTTTTTGTTTTTTCAAGTTACCCACGTAATTTGAATATGGAGCTAGGTTTGAAAATCACTGCCTCCTGGCGTTTCAGCCTCACGCAGATTTCATCAGCTCAAGCTATATACTACAGGCACAGTCGTTCTTTGGTATTCGCGCAGGAGATTGGTTCCAGGACCCCTGACTATACCCAAATCCGCGCACACTCCTGTCCCGCCGTCAGCCTTGCAGAATCCCCTTATAGGAAGAGCCTGCCCTCCTTATACGCAGGGCAGCACATCCCGTAAATATTGGCCGCGTTTGGTTGAAAAAAATCCGCATATAAGTGGACCAACGCAATTCAAATCCTTATTGTTCAAAGGTCACCTGCACTTGTTTCCTGGAATTACTTCCAGGAGTCCTGGACACAGGCAGAAGGTGCAGCAGGGAAAAGTAAGGACAGAACTGCAGAGAGAACCGCTCTGTGGAAGGCTGTAGGCCAGTGTGGCTGCCTTTGCATGCTGCTTTCACTACAATGCGGTGACCACTATTTTGAGACGGTACGAGATGCTCTATCCGCATTAACTCATCTAATCCTCATTGCTACTCCGCAAGGTAGAGGCCAGGATCCCAATTTTGCAGGTGAGTGTGAGCGAGGCTAGAAGACTTGTCCAGAGTTTCGGTAAGCGGCAGTCCAGCGGTGCTGGACTCGAGTCAGTGCTCTTGCTACTTATTACGAGGTCACCTGGCCTCCCGGCAGGGGTCAACTAAACACCTTTAGGCAGCGGGGCTGCGGAGCGAGCCGGCTGCCCCCGGGTCACCCCTGCGGGCAGCTGGCGCGGCCGGGGTGCCCGGCCCCCACCCCCACCGGGCCCAATTCCTGACCCCTGCCAAGCCCCAGAAAAGTCACCGCGAGTCACCTGCGCGAGCTTTAAGGCCGGCTGCAAAGGCCCGAGCCTCGTCTGGGTCCCCACGGAGCACAGACCGGTGCTGAGAGGCCGGGCCACGGCCAGCATCGGGACCCGGGGCAGCGGCGCAAAGGCCGCGGGCAGGCGGCGGACATAGGATGAAAGGACACGAGACGCCATAGCTACGCCGACCCAGGATGCACTGCGCCGCCGCTACCGGCCCAGGGTTCATCTCCCGCAGCGCGCAGGCGACGCACAGAGCAGCGCTGTCGGGCACCGCCGGCGGTGGCGGCCCCTGGCGGCTCCTGGAGGCACTGCGCCCTCGTAGCCCATCCAGTTTCGGGACGAACAGTTGCTTGGTGCCACAACTGAACCGGCAGACGTTGCCGTCTTTCCCTAAGCGACACGACACGAGAAACCTACTTTCTCTTTTTATCTGAAAGTTCTGAAATATATCTATTTAAACGTTTGGGGCCGGGCGCGGTGGCTCACACCTTTAATCCTAGTACTTTGGGAGGTCAAGGTGGCAGGACTGCTTGGGCTCAGGAGTTCAAGACTAACCTGGCCAACATGGCAAGACTCCGTCTCTGTTACAAAAAAGATTAAAAGAAAAAAAGGACAAAGTTTTGATTCCACGATTCTTCCACAAGTATTAACATTTATTGAATAGGTTATATATATATATATGAAAAATAATGTGAAAAAATAATCAATTTCAATACATAACTAAGACTAATAAATGTGAGAATTACGATTAAAACAACATACATGTTTTAAAACTTGACAGTGTATAATATAGCTGTCAGGTCCACGACTATGCCAACTGTCATGCCCACAGCCAGGTTCCAGCCCATATGGAGCTCTGAGGTGAGTGGGTGGATGAGCAGATAGCAAAAGAACACTCGGGACGGCAGGCAGGTGAAAGATGATTTTATTCAGCAGCAGCTCTCATCCGCAGCTTACTTACACTAGTTCTCTCACACTGTCCACCTTGTCTCGGCTGCTTAGTCCTGTGGCTCCGACACACAGCTGCGAGGCTGCTCTCCCTTGCCTTCAGGGTCAGCAGCTTAACTCTTTCTCTCAGCTGTGTTCTGGCTCCCCCACATCTGTCTGCAAAGACGGACAGCTCTGGCTCTCTCTTTCTCTGGGCACGAACGCCTGTACAGTATTAGCAGGGCAATTATATCTTTTACAGAAAATAGTGGCTTAAAGCCAAGTGATGGCCTTCCCATGTTATGGCTACATGGCTGTGATAACAAGTGGAGTTATACGCCTGTGTCTAAACTTGCTGAGTCACGCAGGATGTAAACATCTTACCTTGGCCTATCCTTGACCAAAGCACAGTCATGTTCCTTACAATAGCTAACAAAAATAGGTAAGCAAGGGAGGAGTTTAGGCGAATTCCTATTTCTAAGCAGGGCGTCAAAGGATATTGACGGAAATTGAAACACATGGGATAGTGACTCCAAATTCTGAAATCTGCCTGAATGAACGATCCAATAATGCCATCAGTTTTACCTCAATTTCTTTTTATTTTTGTTAAATCCAAGTAAAATAAAATGTAATGGTATGCTGCCAGGTGCAGTGGCTCACACCTGTAATCCCAGCACTTTGGGAGGCTGAGGCAGGTGGATCACCTGAGGTCAGGAGTTCAAGACCATCCTGGACAACATGGTGAAACCCCGTCTCCACTAAAAATACAAAAATTAGCCGGGTGTGGTGGCAGGTGCCTGTAATCCCAGCTACTCAGGAGGCAGGAGGCTGAGACAGGAGAATCGCTTGTACCCAGGAGGCGGAGGTTGCAGAGAACTGAGATTGCGCCATTGTACTCTAGCCTGGGCAACAAGAGTGAAACTCCATCTCAAAAAAAAAAAAAGAAAATTGAATATCTGTTAAGTCCTCATTGTTGAGGCTGCAACAGTGAGCAAGCCAGACATGCAAGCCTGGTTCAGTGACTCACCTCTGTAATCCCAGCACTTTGGGAGGCCAAGGGAGGTGGATCACTTGAGCCCAGGAGTTTGAGACCAGCCTAGGCAACATAGGGAGACCCTGTCTCCACAAAAAACTTAAAAAATTAGCCAGGCGTGGTGGTGCATGTCTGTGGTCCCAGCTGCTCAGGAAAGATGAGGTAGGAGGACCAATTGAGCCCAGGAGGTCAAGGCTGCAGTGAGCTATGATTGTACCACTGCACTCCAGCCTGGGCAACAGAGTGAGACTCTGTCTCCCAAAAAATGTAGCTCTAAGCTTAGGAGGAACCTAATAGCCTGCTAAGTTCACACTTGGGGCCATCTCTTCCCATGACCTATCTAGTATTTCAGTGTTACATGTATGTATATATGTATTTATTGAGATGGGGTTTCACCGTGTTAGCCAGGATGGTCTCAAACTCCTGACTTCGTGATCTGCCTGTCTCGGCCTCCCAAAGTGCTGGGATTACAGGCGTGAGCCACTGAGCCTGGCATCAATGTTACATTTAATCCTTTTGGTCAAACATAACAAATCATCTCTTATTTAAATAATTTGGGAGAGCTGCTTTTCCCTTTAGCAAACAAATAAAGACAAAATATCAGCCTACATGGCCTGTAGGGTAAAAAGTCCCAATATTAAGATTAAGATCACGTCCTTAGCAGATGGGGAAGAGTTAAAAGACAACACCAGTGCTTTTCAGTGGCATTCCCATCAAAGGATGGATAAGCATAAAAGCTGTCAGTTTCCTAGCACAAACTATCCCACCAACCCACCATGATCTCTCCCTCCCTCTGCCCGCCCATCTGCATGGCAGTTTCATCCCCTCCTGTTCTCAATGGGATCTTGGGCCACCAGTTAGCTCTTCTTCCCTACATCTCAAAGGTCTCTCTTCTGGCTCTTTCTCCTGAGCCCATAAACACATCAGAGTTTCTCTTAGCCTAAAAACAAAGTCAAAGGACCCTCCACTGGCCCTTTTATAGATCTCTAATACCATTCCTCCTTCCTTTCATAGACAAGCTGCTTGAAGGAATCATCTACACTTTCTCTTTTTGTCGCTGTTGGAGACAGAGTCTCGCTCTGTCGCCCAGGCTGGAGTGCAATGGCACGATCTTGGCTCGCTGCAACCTCTGCCTCCTGGGTTCAAGCGATTCTCTGCCTCAACCTCTCGGGTAGCTGAGACTATAGGCGCCCTCCACCACACCTGGCTAATTTTTGTATTTTTAGTAGAGACTGAGTTTCACCATTTCATCCAGGCTGTCCTTTCTGCCCAGAATATCCTTTGCTTCTGCTTTGATCTACTTATCCCGCAAGGCTCAGCTAAATTTCCACCTTCCATGAAGCTTTTCTGGGACTCCTGGGTTGTCCCAGCTGCTCAGCCTTTGAGCTTCCATAATAGCACCTGGAATATATCCCTTAAAAAAATTTTTTTTTTTTAGCTTCCTTTTTTTTACATTGAGACAGTGTCTCACTCTGTTGCCCAGGCTGGAGTGCAGTGGTACAATCTCTGCTCACTGCAATAAATGTCTGCCTCCCAAGTTCAAGCGATTCTCCTGCCTCAGCCTCTCAAGTAGCTGGGATTACAGGTGTGTGCTACCACGCCCAGCTACTTTTTGGATTTTTCACCATGTTGGCCAGGCCGGTCTCAAACTCCTAACCTCCAATTACCTGCCCACCTCGGCCTCCAAAGTGCTGGGATTACAGGGGTGTGCCACCGTGCCGGGTCTGAAACATACCCCTTAAATTAAAAATACGGTACTGACTGCTTTATGTGACAGTCTCTCCTACTAGTGCAGAGGTCTCACAGCAATCATTTACATACCTACTGTGTCAAGTAGATGCTGAGAGTTTGTGCAACCATTACCGACTAGAATTACTTTGTACTTTAGTTTTGTTAACTCTTGTTATTATCAAGATAATAATACAGGTTTCTCAAGGTTCGTGAGTAAATAAATCTTTACAAAAAGTTCTCTAGTATCTATGATGCACTAGCAAATAATTTGAGTTTCAAAATTGTGGGTATAGAATTTGTAAAGGAGGCTATTGCTCACACCTGTAATCTTAGCATGTTGGGAGGGGATGCCACAGTGGGTAGATGGCTTGAGCCTAGGAGTTCGAGATCAGCCTGGGCAACATAGTGAGACACATAGTGAGACTGTCTCACACAAAAAAATTTTTTTTAGTTAGCTGGATATGGTAGCCCATACCTTAGTCCCAGCTACTGGGGAGGCTGAGGTGGGAGGATCACCTGAGCATGGGGACGTCAAGACTGCAGTGAGCTGTGATCTCACCACTGCACTCCAGCCTGGGCAACAGAGTGAGACCATCTCAGAGAAAATATAATACACATCCTTTGATAATAAAAAATTAAAAAAAAAAAACAAAACAGAATTTGTAAATGAGCAAAAACTATAGTATCATAAAAATGTGTCTTTTTTTGTGTGTGTGAACCACCCACCTCTTATGATCCACCCACCTCAGCCTCCCAAAGTACTGGGATTACAGCACTGCGCCCGGCCAAAAATGTGTCTTTTTTTTTTTGAGACAGAGTCTTGCTCTGTCCTTCAGGCTGGAGTGCAGTGGTGTGATCTCAGCTCACTGCACCTACACCTCCCGGGTCCAAGCGATTCTCCTGCCTCAGCCTCCCGAGTAGCTGGGACTACAGGAGTGTGCCACCACGCCTGGCTAATTTTTTGTATTTTTAGTAGAGACAGGGTTTTACTGTGTTAGCCAGGATGGTCTCAATCTCCTTACCTAGTGATCTGCCCACCTTGGCCTCCCAAAGTGCTGGGATTACAGGCATGATCCACCGTGCCCAGCCCAAAAATGTGTCTTTAAAAAATATAAACTTCTTCGGCTGGGCACGGTGGCTCATGCCTGTAATCCCAGTACTTTGGGAGGCTGACATAGGCAGATCACCTGAGATCGGGAGTTCCAGACCCCCCGGTCAACACGGTGAAACCCTGTCTCTACAAAATATACAAAAATTAGCCGAGTACGGTGGAGCACGCCTGTAATCCCAGCTACTCGGGAGGCTGAGGCATGAGCATTGCTTGAACCCGGAAGGCAGAGGTTGCAGTGAGCTGAGATCACCCCACTGCACTCCAGCCTGGGTGACAGAGGGAGACTCCGTTCTGAAAACAAACAAAAAAAAAAGTGGTGGTGGTTCATGCCTGTAATCCCAGCACTTTGGGAGGCTGAGGCAGGTGGATCACTTGAGGTCAGGAGTTCAAGGCCTGCCTAACCAATATGGTGAGACCCCCGTCTCTACTAAA